CCTGCCGCCGTTCAGCAGCTTCGCCGGGGACAACGCGATGGACAGCTCGACGACATTGACGACTCTTCACTCCCAGGACGTCGGACTGGGTCTGACGTCCTCCTGGGACTACTACGAGGGCCTGACCGGGCGATTGATCGACTCCCGAGGCGAGGTGGTGCTCGCTAGCCAGTACAGGCCTTGGGAGTCGAAGAACGCTGGTGGAGGAGGTGGCCCACCAGGAGAAGGTCTACCCAGCTTCGCCAGCCAATTCACCGCCCCGAGCGAAGCGGAGCCGCAATTGACGGCGCTGACGCCGTTGTCGCCAGCCTCGATATCGCACTCGCCGCCGGTCACGTCGGCCGTCGGTCTGCCGAGCTTTCACACCCTCGGTACGCCGCTCCCGGCACCGCATCCTCATCGGGGCAGCGTGGGCTACCCGCTGGTCCCGGCACCTGTACAGGCCCGCGAGGTGCCCGCTCTCCAACAACAGCTACTCGACGAGAGGCACATACAGCTACTGGGCTCCAGCCCCGTACAGGCGTTTCCACCGCCGCCACCGGGTCACCCGCACCACACCGTGCTGACGGTGGTCAAGCCGGACTATCCGCAGCTGCACCACGCCAACTTCCAGAACCCGATGTCCACGGTGCTCGACTCGTCGCCCACCTCGAGGCCGATCGGCATCGACGGCAGGAAGAAGGAGCGCAGAAAAATACGAGCTGGCTCCATGGAGTCGGAGGACAGCGCCGGGGCAGGCAACGTCGAGAGTTCTGGACAGGTTGCCGCTGTTTCGTCCACCGCGAACAGGGGACCCCATCATATGGGCGGTGGAATCGCGGACGCCGACGGAGACGGAGGCCTCAGCGACAAGCCGGCCAAGAAGAAACGCAAGAGGTGCGGAGAGTGCATCGGGTGCCAACGCAAGGACAACTGCGGGGACTGCGCGCCCTGCAGGAACGACAAGAGCCATCAGATTTGCAAGATGAGGCGGTGCGAGAAGCTCACCGAGAAGAAGGTTAGTGTTTACTCTTATTCTCTTTATCTCTTCTAGCTAGGTCTCTAGGTAAATCTAGAGTATCTAAGACTCTAGGTAAAATCAGTTTATTTCGATCAAGGTATCTTGGGATGGGCCCAATTTTGTCTGTATCTTTGATCGTTCAGAAAGTCTTTCAGTCATTTGGTGTCACATTCGTTTAACATTACGAATAATTATTAAATGTACAACCTTATTAAATATATGCAGTGTGTGACAACTCTGTATATAATAGACTTTATTGAGTAACACCAAATATAGAAGGTGGTACTCAAGGTTGTATTAGACTAGTGTTAATATAAAACAGCAGCAGGTAGCGAATGAAATGAAAGAGCAATTTTATTTGAATAATTCTATCCAAGTAACAAGCACGTAAATAATTGACTCTAATAATCAGTCAGTATAAAAACCAGCAGTTCGCAGATAAAAGAGCAATTTTATTTGAATAAGTCCAACAAACAAACATAAATTGTCGTCCAATATATAATTAGTATGAAATATAAAGTGAGAAATGAAAGAAGAATTTATGGAATTAAAAATGTAATAGTATAAGGCCTAGTTTCAGTTTATGCCGCGCGAATCTGTCCCTTCGATTAACCCTGTTGTTGTCCGCGTTAATCATCCCTTGGCGTAACTGGGGCAGTTTCACGGAAGGGGATTGTCGCGAAACAGGCGGGAAAACGAAATCGTCGTACAAGCGGCAGGTCGCGTTGGTCGAAATTGGTGAAAATCCAGGTGTATCGGTGTGTACGTCAGAGGGCGAAATGGGTGAAGGGTGCACACAGCACCCAGTTGGCAGGGTAGAATAAACACCGACACGGCCCGTACGCGTTGTAGAACGACGCGTATATATAGATAGAGGCTGAACTTGGCCCCGATGCCTGAATGTGCCGAGAATCCCAGAGGGAAATACAGAAATACAGATAACCGAGGTGGTTTATTATTGTAGCGACATTGAATAGGGGGTTGGTGGGTTGACTGGCTGGCCTGTTCGGCTGCTCGCTTTTCCTAGTAACGGATACGAACCGTACGCAAATCTATTGTTTAAGGCTGTTAGAGGGTTTGCCTGATGGGACTTTAGGAATTTTTAAATTCAAAATTTCTCATTTTTTTATTAAGAAATCTAGCAATTGAGGAATTTGGTAATTTGCAAACTTGAAAGTTTACAACTCTAGAAATGTGAGATATAGAAGGTTTAGCTAACTATGGGACTCCAGAAATTTTTACATAGGGGAAGTTGGAGATGTACGGATTCTGCGATGGTTTTGAACATTTTTCTATATGGAAATCTAAGAATTGAAGGGTTTGATAAGTTGCAAGTTTGAAAGTTGTCTAATGTGCAAAAATGGAATATTTCATACAAGGCTTGGTTAGATGTAGGAGTCTATGAATTTAGAGATCTAATAATTTGAAGATGGAGGAATTTACGAATCTGTTCATTCAGAAATCTGAAAAGGTATCTCGTAACTTAGAAATTGAAGAATTTATAAATTTGAAATATTTCATACTGAGTCTTCCCAACTATATGATTCTACGAATTTGGTCAAACAATGATTGAAAGATCTGCGACTTTAACAATTTCCTTACTGTTATTTACAATGCCCCACACAGTTCAAATATTGAGGTTAATTCTTCACAGATTGCAGCGTAATTTCGAACATTCTCAGAACTAGCAATAACAAACATGTTTTGAAGCAATATCTCTTGCAACATTCTCTGCACGAATCACCTATCTACTACAATTAATACACAATTTCTTTAAAAACTATTTAAACAGTCCAACTTCCCTAAAACACACAAAGAGTGAATTTCATAGCGATCGTTATAACGGATCGAATTGAAGTTAAGAAAACGGCACGGTCGATTGTACGATCTCGAAAGCGATCAAGCGAGGTCGATGTCGCGGCGAGCTCGTTTCGAAAACGCGAATGCACGGGGTCATTGTACGATGACGCGAGTCAATTTAATGGCAAAGTCGCGAAGGCAGTGTGTGCGGTGTGCAGAGCTCGGTGCATGCAATAAACAGCTACGGTTTGAACGGCGGTAGCTCGTAAGCAGCTCGCTTATCGTAGGGCAAGTTCAAGGCTCGTCGCGGGTCATAATAATCGCGTATCGAACTCCGGCTCGTTCGGAAACAAACGTGTTGTTTGCTGGCGATACCGAACGGGACACCTCTCCTTTTTCTTTTCTCTTCGACTCGCTCCTTTCTTGAACGTTGATAAAACTCGCTGTCCGACAATTAAAACGAATCGACTCGAGTATTTGCTCATAAACATATTTCCGCGCTGGTAGAAAAGCGAGGGAAGGTTTATTGAGTCTGGGGTTTTTGGGATTTTTTGATTTGGGAAATTTTTTAGGAAATTGGGAGATTGAGTTGGAAATTTTGGAATTCGAAATTTTGAAATCTGAAACTTTGGAATTTGGAATTTTAGAATTACAAGTTTTGGAATTTGGATGTTTTGGAATTTGGAAGTTTTGGAATTTGGAAGTTTTGGAATTTGGAAGTTTTGGAATTTGGAAGTTTTGGAATTTGGAAGTTTCGGAATTTGGAAATTTTGGAATTTGGAAATTTTGGAATTTGGAAATTTTGGAATTTGGAAGTTTTGGAATTTGGAAATTTTGGAATTTGGAAATTTTGGAATTTGGAAATTTTGGAATTTGGAAATTTTGGAATTTGGAAATTTTGGAATTTGGAAATTTTGGAATTTGGAAATTTTGGAATTTGGAAATTTTGGAATTTGGAAATTTTGGAATTTGGAAATTTTGGAATTTGGAAATTTTGGAATTTGGAAATTTTGGAATTTGGAAAGTTTGGAATTTGGAAAGTTTGGAATTTGGAAAGTTTGGAATTTGGAAATTTTGGAATTTGGAAATTTTGGAATTCGGAAATTTTGGAATTCGGTAATTTTGGAATTTGAAAATTTGGAAATTTGGAAATTTGGAATTTTTGGATTCATAAATTCTCAAATTCACAACTTAAAAATCTAAAAACCTACCCTTTAAAAAATTCCAAACTCAAGAATTCAAAAATTCCTAATTTTCAAACCTCCAAATCTTAAAAACCTACAAATATAAAAACCTGAAACGCTAAAAAAAATAAGTACCCAAAAATTTCCTGAAAAACTTCTACAAACAGTATTATTAATACACGGATGAATCGTCTTCCCATCGTGTTTTCCTATCTGGAACACTCTTCTTTCATCTTGTGTTTGCTTATACCTCTCTGTTCTTCTCGTGTCTTCTTTTACTCAGGTTTTTTTATCGAGCGCCAAAAGAAAGAAGTGAGAAACAGAAAGTGATAAGGAAAGAATGTAGATCGATGTTGACAGGGAATCGGACAGCCGGTCGTCTCTGTAGATAAGAATGTATGTAGACGAGACGCGTTTATCTGGCGGGCGATAAACGCGTCTTGGATCGCTGGCGAACGCGTGCCTCGTGTTTTTGACAGTATTTGAGGAAACGTGAGATTTGCAACTATTGATGCAATATTGCAACACTTTACATCAACTTATAGTAACTTATAGGTAGTTACTATAATTCCCTAGTTTCTTTTTATTGACGTGTTCTTAAAATTCCCTATGATTCTGTTAAAATTCACTGATGCTTTTTAAACTTTTCTGGAGACCTTACAATTATCAAGGGTCTGTTTATAAATTTTTCTAGGGTCTCTAGGGTTACCTAGGGTTATCTTATAAATTCCTAGGATCCCTAGGAATTTTATAATTCCCTAGGGTCTCTAGAATTCCTTAGGATCTCCTCAGAATTCCATAGATTCACTTCTAATTCTGTAAAATATCCTTAGAAATTCCCTAGAAAGTATTTGGTGTCTTCTTGAAAATTCTCTAGATATTCCTAGATACCAAGGTTCAGTTAGAATTTCAGTATAATTTTTTTAGAATTCTGGTAGCTCCAGAATCTTATAGCTCTAACTCCAATTTCCTAGAGTTCCCAAGAATTCCCTAGATGTCCCTAGGATTCACTATTTGCCCCTAAGATTCCCTAGATTCAGAATTTCTCTATGATTTTTTTAGAATTCTGGTAGATCCAGAATCCTATAGCTCTAACTCGAATTTTCTAGATCTCTCAAGAATTCCCTAGATGTCTCTAGGATTCCTAGATGCCACTAAGATTCCCTAGATTTAGAATTTCGCTATGATTTTTTTTTAGAATTCTGATATATCTAGAATCTTATATCTCTAACTCATATTTCCTAGATCTCCCAAGAATTCCATAGATGTCCCTAGGATTCCTAGATGCCACTAAGATTCCCTAGATTTAGAATTTCGCTATGATTTTTTTAGAATTCTGATAGCTCCAGAATCTTATATCTCTAACTCATATTTCCTAGATCTCCCAAGAATTCCCTAGATGTCCCTAGGATTCCCTAGATGCCACTAAGATTCCCTAGATTTAGAATTTCTCTATTGATTTTTTTAGAATTCTGATAGCTCCAGAATCCTATTCTAACTAGAATTTCCTATGATCCAAGAATTCCCTAGATATCACCAGAATTCCCAAAATACTCCTATAATTCCCTCCTATTATTTCCCAAACCTTCATCAGATAACTTCTGACAATTTCTTCAGGTCATAATTCCTACAGTGAATACGCTTTTTCCGATAAATTTTCGCCGAGCAAAATCGAAGGAACGAAGCGGGTAAATACACGACCGGCCGATAAGAAACAACCGAGTTCCGCGAGTTATTTCCTGGCTCGCTTCCTGAAACGCATCGACGAAGTGATTTCTTATATTTACGCAGTTGGTGATTCTTTCTTCCTCCACTCTTTTTTTTTTTCTTGCGTCGCCGATAAACGAGGAGGGACGATTTTTCGCGAAGACGTCTTTCTTGGCGACTTTATCGTGCCGCTTTCCGAGCTGACCTTAAGTGAGTCACCGACAGCTATTATCGTGACTTTCACGGACAGCCGTGCGTAGGCAGACCGCATCTCGTGATGAGCCGCGATTAAACGAGAAAATTGTT